GGTCACACACTGTCCTTCCCCACCCCCACCTCCCTCTGGGACTGGCTAGGACAGTGGGTCAGACATTTGAAACTGTGTCAGAAGAACTGTATCCCAGTTGGAATCTGTTCGTGGGGCCATAAATAAGGATGCACTTGATATTAAAGAAGTGGGGAATTGAAACGTGAATTTCCCCGACGTAACCTTTACTCCTGTTTCTGAGGGGATGGGCACAGCATGGACATGAGATGGATTCACTAATCCACTACCCTGGGTGCAGAATGGGTGTGAGGCACAGGGACAGAACCGAGAGAAAACCATGACTTAAACATAGCATTTTGAAAATCGCACATGTGCAATTTGTCAATTTAATGCTACCACCCTCATGTACCAGCAGAAGGAGCAAAGAGGGTGCAGAAAGGAATCCACTTGTTAGCAAAACATCTGGGTTTGATTCTGAGTCTCAGGAAGTACTTTACACTCAGTGCGTCTGCCAGCCGATCTCTTCGTATGTTGGTCTTTTTTCTAATGTCCACAGCTTGTTTTCCTTTTCTCCTGCTGTGCTTTGGCGCAGGGCTGGAGATTTCTGGCTCACTGTATCTGGGTGGGTATAAGTTTGTAGAACACAGCAAGATCCAAAAGACGGAGAGAAGGCTAAAAAGATGACAAAACTCCTCTGGGGTTTGGGTAATAAAGCCTGGCCCAACAGCCACTGAATAAAGGAAAAGCAGAGGAAGCAGAGAAATTGCGATGTCAGAAATAGAGCGGGGAATCTGCGCACAGATGGATTTATAGATGCACCATAGAAAGTCTCCCCTCGGATGCATCACAGCTGCTCTGCCCAGGACCGTGAGAAACTACAGAGAGTTGTAAACACAGCCCAGTCCATCACACAAACCAGCCTCCCATCCATTGACTCCATCTATACTTCCCACTGCCTCGGGAAAGCAACCAACATAAACAAAGACCCCACCCACCCTGGTGATACTTTCTTCCCACCCTCTTCCATCGGGCAGAAGATATAAAAGTTTGCATACATGTACAAATAGGTTCAAGAACAGCTTTTTCCCCCACTGTTAACAGACTTTTGAACTGAATATTAATTCCGATCTCTCTTTGCGACCGTATTCTGTACGCTGTGCAATCTGCCCGCATAGCGCACAAATACTTTTTTCTGTGTCTCACCGCTTGTGACAAGAATCAATCAACTGATCAATCCCACAAGCCACAGCGAACAGGCCCTCTGTGTTCGTGTGATGTTGAGCCAGGGGATAAATATTGACCCAGGACATCAGCAACTTCCTCACTTTATCCACATAGTGGTCATTGAGTTGCT